GGGAACTAGTGATCCTCCTGCCTTGGTCTCCCGAAGTACTGGGATTAGAGATCTGAGCCACTGTGCCTAGCCATTCTGTGGGATTTTAAAAAATCTTTTTGATCATATCTTTGATGCACAATTTAAAAAAAATTTTGGTGAAGTTCCTTGTATATGTTGTCATTTTGGATTGTGAGTGTATGTTCAAGAAAAAATATTTTTGGGGCCCCTTCTATGTGTAAAGTTTGTTCTAGATGTTTGAGATACATTTTTATTTTCAGCTTTCTCATAATTTATGTTTTCTGGGAATAGCCTGTACTTTCTGGAAAGCTTAGCCAACTTTTTAAAAGAGTTTTTATAATAATATTCTAATATGTTTTGTATGGAACGTTTTTCAGGATATTTAACATGACCATATGACTGGAAAAGCAAGATTCCCTCTTACTTTCATCATTTTGAATGCTAATGCAGGCCTTTATTATTGCTCACCCTAACTCCTACAATTGCATCTTAATTGACCCTTTTCAATCTCTATCACTCCTATTTTTTCTCTGCACTGCCACTGGAGTTTATTTTAAAAGCACAAATTTGATCATGTCATGGTTGTCAATTTTTTTCCCAGTTCCTCAGGTCTACAGAGTAAGTTTCGATGTCTTTTCCAACTGGATACCAAACTTTCTTTCTTGTCTCATTTTCTACCTCTTCTTCTGTGCCTCCTATTATCCAACCAATCAGACTGTAAACCACTATGGATTTTTATACTTCCATGTCTCAGTCCTATATATTCCTTCTGGTTAGCAAGCCCTTTTCTCAACTGCTGAAATGCCCCGTTAGATCTGGCACAAGTGAGAGCCTTTTCTGGAGCCTTCTTTAAACCCATAGTCAACATTGATGTATCCCTTGTGTTCTACATTCTTTTCATCAGCAAGTGATGTTTGGGTGCTTACTATGTGGTAGGCACCCTGTTAACCATTGGACCATGGTGGTGACATAAAAATATATTCTTTCCATTGTCATGTAGTTTAGAGTAAAGAGGGTGAAAATACACAGACAATAATGTAATAAAAACTTGAGGTAACTGTTCCAGAGCAAAGTAGTGCAACTCCCAAGAAAGTTGTAACAGAGAAATCTGATCTGAACTTAAGTGGAGGATATGGAAAACGTGCGGAGGGTATAGTGCTTGAGAAGATATCTGAACCTCTGAAGAAGAAAGAGGATGTGTAAATGCATTCCTGATAGGAGAGATGAGTTAATGAGGGCCAACCTACAAGGAATGTAAAGCATAAGGATGCTGTGGTAAACAGTGTGTCATAGGAAATACTCAAGAGGTAGCCAGGAAATAGAGCATGTGCAGCTTTGTAAATTATAATTAAACCTTTGAATTTATCTTAACACCACGGGATACCATTGGAAATATTTACGTGGTCAGTGTTAGGGTAGATAATTGTAACATAACCAAATATTGATCTAAAAAAGATGAATCAAGTTGCATTGGAAATTAAGAGAAATGGATGAATTTGAGAGTTATTTAGTGAGGGCAGGTCTGGGTGGTGGATTGGATATAAGAATGGATAGGTCAAATTCTTAGTTTACTGATTTATGTAAAGGTTAATGATCCATTGCATTTACTGAGATAGAGAAAACGAAAGATGGCCAAGGTTGGAGGGAAGGAGCAAGAAAATGATGAGTTCAGTCTTGACCATGTGAAGTTTGAGATGCCTCCATAGAGGTGTTTGTGTAGGCAATCACATATATGATTCTGGAACTCAGGGATTAGGCCTGGAGATATAAATTTGATAGTAATCAGTATATAGTTATTAAAACTGTGGTATGTATAAAAGACAGAAGAAAAGATCCCTTGGGATGATGCTTTGAGAAGCTCTAATATCTAATAACTTTATTGAAAAGGATACATTTGCAAAAGAAAAACAAAACAAAAAAAAGAGCAACTGCAAATGAAAGAAAATCAAGCAAGGGTAGTCCCAGGGAAGCCAAAAAACATGAGTATTCAAAAACCACACTATTTTTCTGAGATCTATTGTGCCAAATGCTGCTGAGATTAGGATGAAGAGTAAAATATACTTGCTGGATTTAGCATCATCATAGTTACTGAAGAACTTTATATGTGAAGTAGTACAAACAGAAATTTGTTCTAAGTTAAGTATTTCTGTCTTAGGGCAAAACACACATTTAAGATGCATATTTGTGTATCTTTTTTTTTTTTTTAGAAAGCAGAATTTATTGAGGACAGAAAAGCTCCCACAGTGGGAGGGGGCCCGAAGGGTTTGCCCACATTTGTTTATCTTAAAGCAAACAATGAAGGTAAGATCTTAGGAAAACTTAGAAATAAATGTCAATCAACAGTGGATTTTTATTTAATCACAAACTTTTATGCACACACAAGTTTGTATCCCTGTTGTACACACATACACATACACACTCAATCTACAAATATCATCATACCATTGAGGTAATACAACTCCTAGTTACATGAGTGACCTTTTTAGGGCTTAACAAAATTTCAGGCAAGTTTATTTTAGTTTGAATAAAGGCATTTGTTAGGGTATCTTTATAGAAATTCAAGAAAGTACATGTGGCTTTCCTATTGACTCTACTTACTAACTTGTTTAGTCAATGTACTATCAGAGCAACATATAGTTTATATTAGGGGAATGGCTAATTCATTAAATATTAATATTAAGTCAACTACTAAATGCTTCAACAGCTCTACCTTAACCTTGGTAAAGTGAAATATTTATTTTTGTATTAATTTTCCCCTATGTCCAGGGTATACTGATCAACCCATTAAGTAAATTTATACACATTTATCTTCTTGAAAATGAATAGAAATTTATTCTCTCAGATATGTTACAAAGTACATATTTTTAAATTTCACTCCTTGGTATAGTTTTTATTGTGATATTTCTATTCCTAATTACATTCAATTATCCAATATTTTCTTTTATGTAGAGAAATGTCATATTATTGGAGTCACTTTTAAATTTTACAATTGTTATTACATTTTGCTCCACGGTTTTTCATACACACCCCCACCACACACATATGTCCCACACAAGTCTGTGAATTCCTTGATGGCAGGAACCATACATTTAGACTTCTGCATCCCAACTTATTGCCCATGACATGGTATTCTATAAATTTTTATTGAATTAAATTGAGTCTAATTTCAGAGAATAAAACAGAAAATATCTATTTTGAATTTTTATTGAATTAAATTGGGTCTTATTTTTCAGAATAAAATAGAAAATATCTATTTTGAAAATAGATGATTTAACATGTTTTATTGCCATAATATGGGGGTGATTACTTTAAAAAATGCGACAAATTGTTACATGAATTTCTTTCTTTGGTCAGTGGCTAGGATAAGTTTTTATGTTCCGTGAAACTAGGTCGTTTTTAAGGCAATGCTTCATTTTCTCTTGGAAACACTTATTGATCTCTGCAGAAGAATTCTTCTTCTTTCTAAAATTAATGATCATTCTTTTTATTCTTTTAGTACTAAGACATTTTTTGGAATAAAAATATTTGGTGTGTGTGTGTGCATTTCTAATAGAACCAGATGAAAGCATTATTATTTTCTATGCTGACTGAATTTTTATGTCTTTTTCAATGCTACTGCTGTTTGCCAGATTTGCAACACATTTTGAGTTTAGTATGCTGTTCATACTTTGATATTTATTTATGTTTTTTGTATTGTATTTGTACATAGGAACTATGTATACAAACACACTTCTACATGGCATTAATTCCTGTTTAATAAATGATGGTCTCTGTGAAAACTTCTCTAACAAAAGAATATGCTAGGAAGAGTAAATCAAGTTTCACACATCTTTTTGTAACCCCCTTATCATCTCTATTCCCTTAAATTATTATTTGTCCTTTAGTCCTCCCCTCTAATGTTTATGCTGCTTGAGGTTAGAAATCATTTACTCTTGATCATCTTAGCATATATTATTTTGTCATAATATCCTACAAAGTTGCTTAATGAATCTTTGTTGAATGAATGAATAGATAAGTGAATGAATATTTGCCCCCAAGATTTCCAAGGGTATCACAAACAGGAATCCCCATTCCTTTTTCAAATATCTGATGAAGTAGATAACATTTACCACAAAAGGTAGTTCTTGGTAGGTACTACAACAGGTGGCATTCTTAACTCTTTGATATTAAAGCTCCTCGTCCCAATTCCAATTTAACTAAAAACAAAAGAAGATTTAAGACAACAAATATGGGAATGTAAAAAGATGAAGAAATGAAAGAAACATAATCCAGTGACAGAATGAGTGGAGATGTCTTTGATTCAATTTTGTAATAAAGTGCGAATTAGAAAAACACATTAAATGCTATTATTCATAAAATTCTTCATTGCTCCACCTTTCTGAAGGCACTTGGAATTACCAAAGAGAAGTGATTAAATTCCTTTATTAAATTTGCTTTACCACTTTTCCATCAAAGAGTAAACGTAATTTTTCTCAAAAGTGTAGACAAAAATATAGATCATCTATTTATTTTTAGTCTTTATATGATTATAAGGAAGTTTTCCTTTAAAATCTTGATTTTTATGAACAATTGGAAAGCTCTACTGAGACTTTTAATTTTTCACTTTTGAGAAGAGGTCATATACATATCTAAATGTTGAATTAAAGCTATAGATCCTCTTCCCAGACAAACGCATGAAATTTAGATACCCGTGGGACTTATACATTTTCTGAAACCCTTCCTTAGATTTCCTAGGTGACCAGGGACCCTCAGGTTAAGACTCACAGATTGGAAGGTCAAGGTCTTATGAAGGGATGAGGATGCTGATCATGATATATCAGTAATAATATGAACCACTATTAGGTATGATCTAGAATCAAATAAATTTGTCTGAAAGAGAAGAAGAGTGGACTTGTGACTTTGGGGTTTATTCCAGAATTCAGTCTTTTTGTGGTGAGGATCATAGGAAAGGGGAATGGTAATAAGAATGTTTGGACTTAAGACACTGATTCTCTTCACTTTCACCTTACTGTTTTCTTACTGAGATGCTTATCAAGGAGAAAGTCTGCCACCACCTTTCTAAACATGTCCTTCAAAGCTTCCTTGACCTGCTCATTGCGCAAGGCATAGATGAATGGATTCAGCAGTGGTGTCACAAATGTTGTTACTACTGTCACAGCCCAGTTATTGTCCACAGAGCCACTCTGTGATGGCCACACATAGAGAAAAATAGCACTTCCATAGAAGAGGGTCACCACCATCAAGTGGGAGGTACGGGTAGAAAAGGCCTTCTGACGGCCTGAAGCAGAGGGCATGCGCAGGACAACCAGGACTATGTGGCCATAGGACGCAGCAATAATCATCAGTGAGGATACAATGACAAGAGATGCCAGGACAAAGTCGGTTTCCTCCAGCTTTTTGGTGTTGGTACATGCCAGGTGCAGCAGTGGACCACTGTCACAGAAGAAGTGCCGCACCACAGCACCCTGCTTACAGAAAGGGAGCAAAGCCACAGCCACCGTAGGACCAAGCACAGGGACAAACCTCCCCACCCAGCAGACCAAGGCCACACGGAAGCACATAGCCCCACTCATGAGCAAGGGGTAGCGCAGAGGATGACAGATGGCCAGGTAGCGATCCACAGACATGACAGCCAACAGTAGGAACTCAGAGGCCCCAAGAAAGAAGTAGAAATAGAATTGGGCAATACATGCAGCAAAGGAAATAGTGTGTTGCCTTGAGAGAAAATTGCTCAGCATCTTGGGAATGATGACAGATGTGAGCAGAATCTCTAGCCAGGACAGGTTACCCAGAAAGAAGTACATGGGGGTCTGTAGGCGAATGTCAGCTCTTACCACTCCCACAATCAACACATTGCCTGTCAGAGTCAGGAAATAAATGAGAATAAACACAGAAAACAGTTCCACTCTGGTGCCGTTGAGATTGGGAAACCCTTCCAGGACAAACTCTGTTACACCACTCACTACTCTGGTTCCCATCAGAAGCCATCATCTTTTTTCACCTGTGTGACGATAACAACATGATCCTGGTCAGAGCAGGTTTTCTTCTTAACAATTCTGAAACTGATTTTATCATATCCCCACTTTTTCCAACCACAGATCCTGTTAAGATTTAAAGCACCAGCTGGGCTTGGTGGCTCAGCCTGAGCCTGTAATCCCAGCAATTTGGGAGGCCAAGGCAAGTGGATTGCCAGAGCCCTCGAGTTCGAGACCAGCCGGGGCAACTTGGTGAGACCTCGTCTCTACAATAAATAAAAAATTAGCCAGGTGTGCTAGCGCGTGCCTGTAGTTCCAGCTACTTGGAAGGCTGAGGCGGAAGGATCCCAGTAGGTCGACGCTGGGGTGGTCGTGAGTGTGCCACTGCACTCCAGCCTAGGCAACATAGTGAGACAGCAACTCAAAAAATAAAAAGAAAAAAGAAAAAGGTTTAAAGCACCAGAGGTCATTATCTGATTGAATTTATAGCTGGAAGATTTTCTGTGAAAGGTAGCTAAAACGTCAATAAGAAAATACCAGGAACCTCCATCTTCACAGCTCCTATTCTCAGATCTTAATGATGATACCTTTTATCATAACCAACAACATCACTGAGCATCTGAGTTAGACAAAAATACATACAAAAAAGGATTCTGTGAAGAATATTACTGCCATTCAGCCAAGATCAGAACTTGAGGAGACTGCCTAGCTTTACATTTCTGCATTACCACTTACTGGCTGAGTTGCCTTGGCAAAGTTACTTGACCTCTTCGCGCTCCTCAACTGTAAAATGCTGTAAGGAGCAAATGAAATAAAAGTGCAAAGAATTTAAAAGAGTTTCCAGCACTTAACAGACAAATGACGTGGCAAATAAAGTCCTAGGCTATAAGTTAGGACACCAGAATCTAGGTTTGGCTTGCCACTACCCTTGGAAGACTACCAGTTTGCACTTTGTCCAACTATACAATAAGTCATAGGAATCTAGGCCGTTAGTAAGTCTATTCTATGAAATTACCTTTTTCATGGAGAATTTTCCCAGCAACCCAAGGATCTAACTGAACTCAGGGTGCCACAAAGTTCTTTCATTTCTAAAGCAAGTTGTGCCATGTGAAATAAGGAGAATAGGAATAAACGACATTGAATCATTCAATCAGTCAGTCAATTACCCACACCTACTAATTTAGTGTCAGCTTCAAGGTAAGTTTTCTTGGAAATAAGTTCTTTTTTCAGTCCATGATATGTATCCTACTGAACTATCAATTCAAGGCCCTTTTACAAACTTGATCTCTATTAGATGATTTGTCAGAGAATTATGAATTCCTGGTTGTAATTATTAATGATTTCAGAAATGAAGTTCTTATTCTTTGATTCAAGTCCTTCTAGTTCTGAAGACGAGAAAAAGCAAATCAATGATATTCTGAAACCTTGTTATAAAAAACATTTAAAAAAAATGCTCCCCTTTAGTTATGCAAAGTTGAAGAATTGATCTTAAGGCTCTTGGTTCTCTCTTGGCCCAATTATTATCTAGCATAACCTAACAGTCCTTGTTATCAGCAAGCATTAGGTTCTTTACTTACAGTTTCTCAACTGTGTGTCCCACAGGTGTGAGCAGAAAAATTTTTGTACCTTCTGTCTAGGTTAAAACAGTTCTATGGTCTTTCTCACTAGGGATTCATTCAGAATCTTTCTTCTGTTCAGGTTCTGTAGAAACAGCCTTATTGTTAGTATAGTCATTCAACTTTTGCTCTGTATTTGTTATGTACCAGATGCTGCTGTACTTGGTGATTCAGCGATAGTAAACTTTGTCCATACCCTCATGTAGCTCATCACCTAGTGAAAATGACAGAAAATATAAGGTATGTGACAGGTGGAATGTTGCAGGTAAGTATAGGGTACCAGTGGGGACTTATAAAAAGGGAACCAAACTGAGACTTAGAGAGACAAATAGTACTCTGAAGAAAGGTGATGACTGAAATAAATACTAGAAAATGAATATGCAATTGATAGGAGAGAAGGGAAGGTTTTCAATGGAAAAGGACAGTATATAAACATAGCAAAGACCATAAGGGGTGGAATGTAATGTGATGAGACTCTTTCTGAAACTTCTGTTCTTCTGGGGAAAACATTCCTCTGAATGGAAACTAAACTATATCTTCAGTGACAGGAATATGAATCCCAACCCTAAAGGTGGAAGGCATTCCTCCTACCTACCCCTGAATGCCCTTGATGTCTCCATGAGGGTGAAGCTCACCTTGAAAAAATTCTGTTTCCCTTTTTGTGATTCAAGGTTCTGCTCCACAAGGTGTACTGTGAGGTTGACAATAGTTTAGCATCCTTGGAGTTGTGGAGAATGGGCAAAGCACTTGGGAAAACAAGAAGATAACTTGTTTCTTCTCTTGGACTCTCCTCCTTGGTATGTTTCCTCAAATGCTGTTTTTCTGCCTTGTGAGAAAGGAAGTTTGATCCCAAAGAAATTGGGTCATGCTGTCCCTTCTTATGGCCATGAGAAAGTTGGCCATCGGGGTCTATCCTTTCCCTCCCTGTTGAAAGTATATCTCCTGCAGTGTGAACTCTGTGTTAAGGTTCAACAGGCACAATTCAAGTAAAAGACAATTACCTCACAATGCTATAAGATATGTCACTACAAGAACAACATGGGGTTGGAAAGCAAGACAAGGGATGCATATGGAGGGGTTTATCTTTGAAAAGAATCAACCCACTTACCTATAGTTAGTTCCATCTCTAGTGGTCGGAAAATTTTATTTAAAGCCATGTCTTCACTTTTTTGCTAATAGTTTTTTTGTACAAAAAACTCATTCTCTCTGCTTCCTGGCATGAACCTGAGTACAGGGAAGGAGAATACCAAAGAAGTCATTGGTTTCTAATCAATTTCTCAACTGAAGGTTAGAATCCTTCACGCATAATTTTAGTTTTCAGTAGAGATGCCATCAAATGAGGATTGACTTAAACATCAGGAGTACAGCTAGCAGCAGTGCTTTCTGGAGAAAAGATAACCAGATAGTGAGAAAATAAGACCATAGAGAGAGAGAGAGAGGAAAAAAAAATTCCTAAAAGACCCAGGGGAAATTTGCAATGGAAATTTCCCAGACTCTGTATTTGATAAATCTAACCCCAAAAGTCACCAACAAAAGGTGACTGGGAATATTTCTGCATTTGTCTGTAAAGCCAGGTCATTGCAAAAGTTAAGAAGCATTAACAACAAAAATGAAGAAAAGGATGGAGTCTGACCAATTGTGGAAGGCTATGGCCATCATCCACCTTTCTCTTGAATGGTACTCAGGAGAAATATTTATATTCCAAATAACACATACACTGTATCTTCTCTCTGAGTACTACACAGGATAATGGGAATCCCTCCCTTGGCTTCTGGGTTAGGAGATGATGGAAGCCTCAAGGGCATGATAAGATAAGATGAACTTCCTGCATCATCTCCAGCTTCTTCTACTGCATCTCTCAACCTTGTACTTTATCCACTAGTGATACTATATATGATTCCACACACTCAAAGAATGATTTAGAATTCTAGACTATTGTTCACAGTTTTCTGCTTGTGTTCATTCTCCTTACTAAAGTCTTGACCACCCATTGTTCATATTATAAGACTCAGTTTACTCTAGTGCATATCAGTTCTTCTAAGAAGCTTCCCCCTACCCCTGCCTTCAGTTCCACCAGCCTACAAACTCTCTGATCTGAGCCATGGCAGCTTTCATGTTTGTATTCCCTGCTAGATTCTGAATTCCTAGGGTAGGAATATTTTCACATCTGTATTTCTAGCACCAATCACAGTGCCTGGCACATATTGGGTGCTTAGTAAATGGCATGTGGACTAAACTACCCCAAACCCCAGACTATCCTTGTGAAATGTTCATCAGTTAAGTTGTGAGCTGAGAAGAAGAGTGCACAAGACCCTTGGGATTCCCTTTGACTGAATTCCATCCTTTCCAGACATACTCCTCTTTAGAGAAAATAAAATACCTAAATGGAAGCATAGATGAGGTATGGGAATCACCATCAGTAGATTCTGTAGAAGGATTGGTAGGAAAGACAGAGAGAATTGGCTGAGCTAAGCCAAACAAAACTATAAACTAAAACCCCTGTTTGTCGAGCTGAGAGAAGAAGGGATCTAAGAGAGACGAGTCATACATATTTTTAACATTTAGTCATATTTTAAGGATTAAGATTACTGCATAAAGAGATGAGATCAAATAAGGTAACTTGTAAAAAAAAATACACAGCTGTTTTTCCAATTGGCAACAGTTTTGTTGTTTATCTTATAATTTTAAACTGACTTCACCATAGGAATTTCCTAGTTTTTGCATGAAAGTAGAGCATATTAGAAGAATAGATTTTATTTATTTTTAAAGCATAGTCACATAGTTCAAAAATAAAAATATAAACATGTGTAGATTTAAAATTCTTAGTTCACCCATTTCTATCCACCCTATGCCTCTTCCCTAATGAACCATTTTCATTATTTCATTATTTTATTGTGGACACTTCAAGCATTTTTTGTGGATGTAAAAAAACCCAATATGTTTATTTGCTTACTTGTGACCTTTCTAATAGTGCTCTACACCTTGTTTCTTGTTTTTCCCTGAAAAACTTTCCTTGTCTGTACATAGAGAACAGAAGAAAATGTTTAAGGAGACTACTAGCATGACAAATGCATTGAATGAATGAATTGCAAAATTCTTGAATCATATGTCTGCTTTAATCATTGGTTGATATTTCTTTTTTGCTTTAATTTTCCTCATCATTAAAAATACTGATTGTATTGTATTGAAAATTGTATAAAAAATTTAATGATCACTGTAAATAAAAATGAGTTAGAGCAAATTGATATGATATCTGAAATTTGCTCCAAAATAAAGTGGGGTGTATAGATAAAACTTGCTTGGCTATAAACTGGTAATCCATAGAGCTATATGTCAGTTACACTGTGATTTATTATATTATTCTCTTTATCTTTAGTATGTTTGAAATTTTTTTGCA